AGAAAACATCTGTGATAACCTAAAAGGACACAGTCAGATCAGCTGAATGGGCAGAAATTTTTTTGTTTTCCAAAGAAATTTCAATTAAGCCTTGTCAGCATCTGCAAGTTATTCTCAGATTAGTTTCTGTGATAGAACAGTAGTGAGAGCACAGACAGGTCTGTACTAGCCAACAGGCTCAAACCAAATCTATCACCATATGGACTCTTACAAATTCAGAATCATAGAATCATTAAGGTTGGAGAGACCAATAAGATCTAGTCATCTAGATAGTTGAAACTCATGATGTCTATGGATTCTCCCTCTGATTTGAAGCTTTGAAAGTTCCTTAATGTTAATGTTAATGTCTTTAAAATGTTCCTTAATGACTTGCTACTCATTATGAAGCATTATAAACTTTATCTTTCAAAAGTCTGCAAAACTTAAATGCTAAGAATTCATTCCTACACTCACTTAATAGTTGGGGATTGCTTGAACCTTTGACAACTATTAAAACAAGTATCTCTTGAGGTTTATGATTTTTGTTTCTGATTAGTGCAGATGCCAATCACATTTTCCCAAATGGGTGAAATCTCCCAGATAGGCTTGAAAATGAATACAGTGCTTTGGGTATTTGGTGCTGTAAGATCTAAGTCATAATAAACCACTACCATATGGGATTAGAAGGAACTCTACCTCAGGCAAGTGATGCCATCTGCTGTTGTCCATCCACAGGACACGAAGCCAGATGACTGCTTTGAATTACACTTCTATTCTCCTTTTTCTCCATCTCTAGTAACTACTTTGAATAGAAATTTAAAAAATAATTTTTTTCTACATTCTACAAAGCACTTGTATGGCCTGGATAACTTACGTTATGTTACCTATTTGTAACACAAATTTCAGCGTTTCCATATTTCCTAAAAAAAAAAAAAAAAAAAGTCCAAGGGCCATTGAGAACAAAGAGAAAATATTTTATTAGCTCCACAACATGACTGATGCACTGGAAGCAGTGTAAACTGAAAGAAATCCAGTCCATCAAGCAGATTATTACCAAGCTGCTCAGAGTAAGGTAATATTTGAGATTCTGTATACATCAAGTGCTTCTAGAAGTGCTCTGAATACAAATAAAAGTCTTCCATTTCAAAGAGAAATTGTAGTATAATAGAAGTATTTCACAGAGCCAATCTGTACAAGCAGTTAAGTTAAAAATCACAGCTGAGAGACTGAGAAAGCCTGAATGTGTCAAAGAAAAAAAAAAAAAAGCTTCCTAGAAGGTTTAAATTTATATAAGGAGATTTTTTTTTTAAACCATCTGTTGCTAAAATGTGTTCAGGAAGCAGTATTATAGCATAAGGAGATTCGTATTTTTTTCACTTCTAATTTTTTAATCCTGCTTCAGTCTCTATTTCACTTTGCAAATCGGTATTATATTTTTGCCACTCTGAAATGACAATTTCTGCTTGGAGATGCCTCTGCAAAGTCTTCCTTGGGCATCCAGTATTCTGCATTAACTGTTGCACAGATGCACTAGTAATTTCCAATTGAAAGATGCGAAATGAATAGCAAGGCCATATGTACACTGTTTTGGTAGGTCTGCAGATAAATTAAACGCCCAGAACTTGTGGAAGTAATTGGAGGTTGCTGTATAAACGGTGCATATTTTAGCATTCTGCCATTTAGCCATTCCCCATGATGGCAAAGTTACCAACAGTTCATTTGCAACCATCACTCCTACCATGATAGAGATACGAAGCACTTGTTTTTCTTTGCTCATTCACTAAATGCAAACTTGTTTTATTCTGTTACAAGAAGGCAGCTCCTTCAACAGTTTTGATTGCAACATGACAGCATTTGAGTTCTTATGACGAATCCACAGGCAAGAAATGTTGTTCATCCAGAAAGTATTCATAATAAAGAAAAGAATTATGAGGTAAAAAATAAAACAAAGGAGGGGAAAGAAAGAACTACACAGAATTAATTGTTCATGTGTAAGTAGAAAATGTATTCTTTCTCCTATAGATAAAAACGATGTAGAAAATCTAAATGTAGATTCGCAAATAGGAAATAGCATTCGGTGATAGTAGGTAGATATAAAAGTGGGAACACTTCAGTATATGTTTAATTTTAAAACATGAATTTGCACATTATTTAACTGACAGTACTTGAATGATTCCTGGTTAAGGAATGCTTGATTTGATGCTAAGATCAGATGAGACTTAATGCCTTGATAATGGTTTCAAATATTTAATTATCATGAAACAGAGCTGAAATATAGACAGCTGGATGCTCCATTACTCCTGAGTTAGCTGTAGTGGAATGCTGCATGTGCATGACACAGGTGAGTGTGCTAGTGGAGAACTTAAAATACGGCAGAACCTTACTTTTTGGAATTTTGTTCCAACCTGTAGAATGGAGTGCTGAATGTGGAAGTCACATAAAATGGAAAGCAAACCAACCTTAACCTGCAGCCTGCTCCAGTCCTAGACCAAGGCTCTGAGTAGGTAAAGAGTTAAAATCAAACTGCTAAAAAAACCACTTGGCACTCTGCTCCTCTGCACTTTGCTGTGTTTTATGTGCCTAAAAGACAGAAGAATCATAGTAGCAAGGACTAGAATGCAGACTCACATCACTACCAAGGCATTTCCTTAAATAGGTTGCAGTGTTTACCCACACTGGCACCACTTGAAGCAGAAGTAGAGTCAAGCCTCCGCACCACATCACTCCATGGAGCATCATCTCAGCTGGGCAAATGATGGCAGTGTGCCCTCCTTGCCCTGCAGTTACCTGTTTCAGGTCACTCTACAAGGGAAAAGGTACAGGGCTCTGTTCCTGCCTATCTGCAAATAAACGAGTGATGAAGACGATGTCTGTCCTGCCTTCCCCTACCATTTCTATTGGCAGTAGCCTGGAAGTCTGGGTGTTATTCTGAGACAAGAGCAAGCGATATGAAAGTAAGTTAACTCAACTTCAGCTTTGCTTTAAAAGAAAGTGGTAGCTGTCTCTGTGTTCTGTCAGGAGCCCAAAATTGTCAGTGTGTTCTGAGGACGCTCTGTTAATGCCTATGAGATCAACCCTTGTCAGAACTTGGACAAGGAAGAGTGCTCCACTTCTGCCTGCTGTTTAGGCCTACTCTTAAGAAAGGTGCTAAGCTCCCCTTCCACTTTGTCAAAATAGCATGACTTTGTGTCACTGCAGATATAGAACTTTCAGGTTTTCCAAAATTGTTGTTCTGCACAGAGAAGTAAATGCTAAATGAAATTTTATGTACGTCTGCCCTTGTCTGAATCTGGCCCACAGTTATGAAAGGCGGATCTGTAAAGGGACATATTAACACTTCGTCTATTGAAGCCTGCATTGCCTATGCACTGCTCCGAAGACAAAGATACAAAGGAAAACTGAGGCTGTGGAGGTTAGCTATTTTGAGAACCCTAGTTTTAGTAAGTATCCATGTATTCTTCTCCATTATTTGCTTTCAAAAATTTCCCTATTAGAACTTGAGGTATCTGATTTAAATGTTTTCTTTTTCTTCTTGCTACTTAAATTGAGTAAGTATTTTATTCTCAACAAGAGAATCCATTTTTAACTCAGTTCTATAGAAAATTGCCTTAGTTTTTCAATGTCTTTCCATTATTTTAGGTGCAAAGGGTTTGTTGTAAACTTAGAGACATTTTGAATGTGGTGAGAGCAGTGTCAGTGAGTCTTAGCCTTCTGGGAGAGGAGCAAACTATTGTGTACTTGCCACGCACTTGTTTGCCTGCAAAGGGCAAATTCACTCTATATCCATATCTGAGCATCCTTCCCAAAACATTCCCAAGTTTGTTTTCATACCAGCCATCACATTTTTTTTAATACTCAAGTATACTTCCAACAGGTCATACTCCTGTTATCACAGTGCAACCTTTCCAAAGCATTTACTTTTTCCCCTAACCTTTCATTTGGCTGTCAGAACACTAACTGTAATGGAGGAAGAACACAGGAGCAGTGCTTTTAATTCGGATCTCCAGAGATCAGCATTTATCTCTGGCACACACAGTTAGAGAGGGAGTTCAGCAGCAGTGATTGTAAACATAGCTGGGGAGGGCAAAGCTTTCCATACATGTTGCATATTTGATACCTGGCTTGGGTGAGCCCTAGTTTGTTTCTCTGTCTGCTAACATTGCCTTGTTTTTGATTCATGATTATAAAATTCTTCCTTGTTGAGCTGAGTGTTGCCATGTTCTGCTTCTGCTGAGCTATACTGCCTGTCAGCAGTGCTTTCTTTAACATCTTCAGTTAAACAGTTCACATGGTTTCTATTATGTCTGTCCTTAATACAGCTGTCATGAACTTATAAGCCTGTTCTCTTTTTCTCTTGATTTCCAGAATAATTTGGAGCAGACCTTTTTTGTTTGCACGTGTGCCTTAGTAAGCAGACAATCATGTTAAAGCCTGATTATTTAGGAAAAATTCAGACATTCTAATAAAAACATAGCTAGAGGTGGGTGTCAACAATTGTCTGAACACAACCTTAGGAACTGATCTAATAATAATTATATCTGAGAACCTGCCCCCTAATGCCTAAGGAAAGCATCAGAAATCTAGGATAGACTGTATAAGAAAACAAAAGTGGAAATGAAATGAAACTACTAAAGCAACACTACGGAAGCATTTCTATGTGTTGCAGGAAAGACAGGAATGCCATCAGGATGTTTTTTAAGTCTGCTACCTCAACTTCACATGAACTCAGGGGGAGCTACATGTAACAACTGTATTGTAAAAGTAACAGAAACACATCAATGTAAATTCGGAGATTTACTGAGACTTTTGTCACAGGCTGAGAGGGCATCAAGAGGCCATCTAGTTCCCCTCCCTGCTTAAACTCACTGCAGCAAGTCACTAAGGACCATGTTCACTGAGTTCTGATTATTACTTTTAAGAAGTGGAACGTTTTCCTGGAGCCTTTTCTTCTCCAGACTGAAGAAGCCCAGCTCCCTCAGACTGTCTTCACAGGAGAGGTGCCTCCAGCCTCCTGATCATCCTTATGACCCTCTTCTGAACTTGTTCCAATAGCTCCACATTCTTTCTTCTGCTAAGGACACCAGGCCTGGATGCAGAACTCCACACAGGCTCTCATGAGGGCAGAGCAGATAGGAACAATCCCCTCCCTGGACCCGCTGTCCTCCCTTCTTTTGACGCAGCTCAGGATGCAGCTGGCCTGGGCTGCAAGCACACATTCCTGGCTTGCATCAAGATTTTCATCCACCAAAACCCAAAAATCCTTCATTGTGAGGTTGCTTTCAAGGAGTGCTCTGTCTGTACCATGTATTTGGGATTCCCCTGACCCAATCTCAATTTATTGAACTTGATCTTTTTGAACTTCATTAGCTTCACATGGGCCCTTTTCATGCCTTTCCTGGTCACCCTTAATGGCACCCCTTCCTTCTGTCTTATCATCTCAAGCACAACTCATCTTGGTGTCATTAGCAAACTTGCTGAGGGTGCACTCAATCTCACTGCCTGCGTCAGCAATAAAGATGTTTAAAGATGTTAAAGAGCATTGGTCTCATGATGGACCCCTGGTGAAACCACTTATCACCAGTATTCAGCTGGAACTATAGCCTTGGACCACAACTCTCTGGCTGCAATCATTCAACCAATTTTTTATACACCAAGAAATCCAGCCTTCAAATTTATATCTCTCCAATTTAGAAATATGGATGTGGAGTGGAATCACATCAAAAGCCTTGCACAAACATAGGTACATGACATCAGTTGCTCTTCTTTTGTCCACAAATACCATCACTCCATCATAGAAGGACACCAGATTGGTCAGGCACAATCTCTCCTTGGTGATGCTGTACTGGCTGTCTTGGATCACCTCATCATCTTGCATGTAGCACAGTGTCCAGGAGGACCTGCTGCACAATCCTCTCAAAGCACAGATGTGTGGCTTCTATTTCATCCAAGAAAAAGCCACTGTCAACATTTATATCAGATTATCAGAGAGAAATGATCAGTTTTAGTTTCAGTGTGCCAAGTGCACCCAGAAATACTTGCATTATGTAAGCATATCAAGTGCTTCAGAATATGAAAGGAATGTTTTAAAAAGTCTCTACGCTTGCGCGGATCTGTGCCTTAAAATGCAGTTCTGAGTTATATTTCTATTCCCATCTCAAACTTTTGACAAATTCTGATCTAAAATACCATCAAAGTATTTACCAGCCAAAAAAAAAAAAAGATTCCAAAATAGAGGTTTGCACATTTTTTTCCTTCTCCCTCTTGTTCCAAACACTTTCTTTTTGTTTAGAAAAAAATACTGATCCATTTTCTTGCTGCTTTACCTCCTCTGAGTTTCACCATAACTTCTGATACTACAAGATGCATAATGTAATTCAGAAAAGATAATTTATAATGGTAGAAAATGCAGTGAAAGAATCAGAGCTTGATCACAGCCCTCAGAAGATAGCATTAATAATAAAAAAGAATTTTTCATATGAATTAGGATTACTATAAGCAAGAACTGACCTGAAGTCCTGAAAGAAGTATTGAGAGAAGAGCTTTAACTTTAACTCCTATAAGGTTATTAGCCAGAACTAGAATATTTTCATTCAATTGATTTCTATTTCTAATCTTTGTTCCCTGAAAGTCATAATGTTGGTAAACTCAGGTAAACTCAGGTAAACTCTTTGGGAAAATTTGATCTCTCTCCAACATCAGAATGTATGCATCTTCAAGAAGAGCATGTGATGAGGGCTATAAAGCCAAAGATGGAATTTGAAGTTTCCTGTCTTGATAAACTTAACTTTAATTAATTCATCTGTAATGTTTTTAAACACATCACAGTGTATAGATGTCATTACTTATCCTCAGCATTTTCCAAGTAGAAGACCCTCATACGTATACAAATTCTGAAATCTGCTGTGAGCTTGTATTGGTCAGGTATTAATTGCTCAGATGCAGCCTTTGACTCACGAGATTCCTAAACTACTGACTAGGAAGTGGCAAGTATACAAGGGAAAGCAATGCTCCACGTACAATCTGCTTTTCATATATATGTATATATATTTCCCTTAAATCTCTGCTACTGGCTGCTGTCAGATTTGGACCACATTGGGTGATATGCTCCAACTTAGTCCAGTCTCTTAACGTTTTGTGTTTCCTCACTACTTTCTTACCTTTATCATTCTCTCCTTTGCTTTCCTTTCTCCTAGTTTTTAAAATGTAAGTGCAGCTTTCACTTGTTCCATGTGCCTAGATGAACATCCTTTGACAGTATGTAAGTGTATACATCTGTTACAGCTACAATGGGCATCTTCTCTTGTTCACATTACACCTCTCTCTGATGTACTGATGTACCGAAAGCCAAAGCTTTTTCTTTCTCTTGACTTCTATCCCATGCAGTTTCTAATGTACCATCTCCACCTCAGCATTTTTTTCTTTAATGTTATCTAATAAAGTGAAGTCAACTTCTTGAAAGAAACTCCAGTGCCCTGCAATAGCTCATATCACTAATGGACAAAAAGGATGTTACTGATTGAATGCCGATATGTAATGAAATCTTAAAGCCAGTAACACAATTAGTTAACTGTTATAATTATCTCTGGCTAGGAAAGCAATAGGCAAGGATCGTTATCTTGAACAAGCTTTGGAAGATGGAATCAGCTGTGTTATCTGGAAGTTTGCAGAGCACAGGGCTGCTCATTTTAAATTAAAGTAGCAAACCAAATGAACCTTTGTCCCACCTGCTGACTATCAGTGACTTCAGAACAGCACACTGCCCTCCTGACTGTTGGATATTGTAGCTGATTTAATACATTCCTGTCCTTCAATATTTTTCTTCTCATTATATTTTCTTCTCACTAAATTAAGTTCTAGATCCTATGCCATACGCACAACATCGCTCTGCAATCTGAATTACAGACTGCACCTCTATTTACTACTCCTCTCCTTCCATTTGTGTTCTGCACAGAGTCCCTGCTGCACCTTCACCTCCCATCTTTCCTCACAGACATGCCACACAAGTGGAGCTGGCTCATATGCCTTTCCTCAGCTGTAGGAGGGTGACGTTGTGAAGCACATCTTGTAAAATGTCTGTCAAACTGAACAAGTCATTTCCAGAGGGTTTCTAACACCTACCAGTTGTTATGGATATCACGTTATTATCACAGTTATTTAAAATAGTTTTAGATTAGCTAAATGTCATTCTCGTAACAACTGCTCAACCTTCAGGACATCTTTGTGTATATGACAGACTCCCAGCTGTGAAATGATTACTTAAAGAAGCTCTCTGTTTTAAAATGAGTCTGCATTTACATTTTTCTTCAACACAAAAAATAAAAAGAAAAAATCCAACCTATGTTCTGCTATTCAAATGTATGTTTTGTTTATCTCTCTATTGAGTCTGAAAGTACACAAAATCCATTTCATTACTGTTTGCTTGTTTTCATGTTCTCAGTGTTACAGTTGTTGAGTTACTGTGTGCTGGTTACTGCATGCTTTGTCTTTTTTTTTTTTTTTAATTAACTCTCCCAGACTTTAGTAACTTAAAAACATCTGTTGTCTTTCAGGAGCAAATCAGAGTTTGTAATATCAGCACAGGAGATTATGCACAAAAAATTGCTTCTGAATAGATCAACAGTTCTACTAAAATGACCGATGTTTTTTTCCATGTTTGTTACAGTGGTCTTCTCTATTCACTAAATCTGTGACAGCTTTCCCATATAATTGATGAAAGAAATTCCTCGAGGACCGGGCAGAGCTGCTGAAAATAAAAATTTCATAATGATTTATGTTGGGTAAGGTGGGAGCAGGAAACTGACACGGCTTGGTCAGAGAGACAAGGCTCGGGAGTGAGTGTGTTAATGTCACATCCCTGTCATCTGCTGTGCGACCCACAAAAAATTGGCCTTTGTGAAAACATCAATTCACTTTTGAAAGGCAGTTATTCTATCTCTGCTTGTCTTTCCTGTGGCGCAGTCTGAAGTAGGCGATGATACATGATGATACATTCTGTCACCATGGAAAGGAGTGCTTATGTCGTAATACACAAAGTCGATGAGAGAATAAATTTAAAAAAATACATGCTGGGAAAGCTTCAATCCTTATTTCAACACAGATGATTTTAAAAACATGCAGAAAGTAAACACAAGCTTCACAGCAGCCAAACTTTGTAATCGCCCCTCACATAATTTTCACCTGATTCTTTTTTCCCCTAATTTTGTCAAGTTTCTACTAGCACTGTTACTTGTTTCTGACTCCTCAGGTATACCCAGTGAAGGCCTGAGAAGGCACTGGTTGCTACATCGGTGTTAAACGTCAAGGCTTCTTCCTTCATCTTTTTAAGCTGTCTGGTGATACAGGGAAAAATCCTCCTCACTTACATAAAAGTATCACACAAAATCAGTGAGATATCACCTCTGTCACGGGACTGGGATTTGATACCAAATTGCACTACAGTAGGGATATAAGCATTTGGTAGAATTTGTGGTCATACATCTCTACCCTAAGACAGAAACACAGGTCAGTGCTGTTGATGAAAGTCTCCTCAATGGAATATTTAGCAGAGATGTGCAAGAGAGTACAACTTTAACATGAATAGGCTCCTACCCAGAAATTGCTGCTAGCTTCTGGTGAGCCTGATAGGCCATCTCACATCCTTGGGTCCGGGTTTTGTGCATTTCTGCATGCAGAGATGGGCAGGTGACAGAGACATCCCCAATGGAAATCACCAGCTCCCGGTACAGGGCCACCTGGGTATTGAAATCCTGGACGAGCTGAAAAACAGACGATGTGCTTAGGTGAGACAATGAGTGACAATGATAAAAACAGCTGTGTTTTTATAAACACATATCCAAACTCAAGCCTGCTCCTGCTGCTCCCAGTCTCTCGGCACATGGGATAAAGTGCCTAAGATTTAGCGAATGATGACGGACTCCCTGCCAGCTGCCTCTTGTCTGCTACAAATGCTCATCTGCAGGAAAGTGCTGTTTGTGCTTCTAATCTCTGCAAGTGTGAGTTATTAGTCTTAAACACGAAGCAGACAAAAAACCAAACCAAAACAAAACAAAAACAAACAAACAAACAAACAAACGCACAAAAAAACAATCCCCAACAAACAGCTGCTTTGCTAGTAGGTTGTTTTTTTTACAATCAGTAAGAGATGAAAACATCTCCAGAAACGACTGTCTCTGTTCCTCTTGCTTTCTGATTAATGGCACACTTAGGGATTGGAATGCAATGCTTGCTTTTACACTAGGGATTTTGCTAATTTTGTAATGAATTCCATTCTGTCACCGGGCTCTAACCCACATTTGAGACCTGAAATTGATTGGGAATCACTGTCAGGTGAGGTGCACTGGGCAGGCACTTCCAATCCAGGATTCTGGAAAACACCTTTCCCAGCATGGGAGCAAAAAGCAGGTAAAAAGGTAAACAAGCATTTTGACCTTTCGTCAGCTATCTGATACCCAGCAGACACATCAGGATGCTGCTGGATGCCCAAGTAGGTTCACAGTGAGGGACAGACCATGGCTGCTCAGTTCCACTGACTGCCTGTGTGGGACTGTATTTTAAGGAAACAAAGCATTTGCTGTCTGCTGGGAGAAGCACATCAGGACATTTGCTCTGCATGGTGGTGGAGGTGGAAGGGAGCATTAGAACAAAATATGTATCAATTTGTTTTGTTGACTTGACCTCCATTTCCAAATTATAGAAACAGACAAAAGCAACTGCATCCATCATTACCATCAGGATTTTGATGTGTCCCACATACAAGTATGGCAAAAATCCAAATCTATCCATCAGCTTCACCAAATGTGAAAGTCCAGTCCTCAGATTGCCGTACTCAGAAAGAGAAAATAAATGAGCTGCTTCTGCAGCAGTTTTACATTCTGGCTCTTTGTGCTCATAACTGTAATTACGCAGTAGGACTAAGGACTTGTATCAGGACCCCTTTTTTTGGCCATGCTTTCTCAAACTGTAAGGCTTCACTGTTTTTGGAGGGGGTAAACAATGCCTTCATCTCACCAAAAACCCACACGACAACAAAGCCCCAGACAAAACACTCCAACTCTTCTCATCTCCTGTTCTACGTAGCTTAAGAGCACACAAGAAATGAGTGGACAAAGAGAAGAGTACACTGTGTCACAGCACAATTATTCTGCATCATAAAAAACAAAGACATCCTCATCCCACACTAGTGAGGCAGATGCATTCTGCAGGTTCTCACCTGACATCCCCTGACCCAACAGAGGACGCACTGAGCAGCCTCAGCACTGCCAAGGAAAACAAAACCACACTGATGCTTCAGCATCAAGACAGAACAAGAGAGTGCTCCCTCATTTTGTCTCTAAATCTCACTGCATTTTGACAGTCCATTGGTAAATCATGTCATACTTCTAATCAGAATTTTACCAGCTGAAGAGTGAAGAAACAAAGCTGGCACTTGTGTTTAACGTCCTGAATTAAGCTCCCGAGAAGGAGAAGAAAGGCAGGATGCAGTGGGATCCACTTGTTGGTTGTATTTATAGAGCCACGGTGGCAGCTTTGTTCTCTGGTGCTCTGGGCTGCTGCCGGTTTGAAGTATCGGTGTGGAGATCTGCCAGCACTGTTCGTGTATCAGAGTAAAACAGTGCCAGAGCCCAGCAGCACAGAAGTAGCAGAAACGCTTCCAGCGCTGTTGGACAGAGCTGCAGCGAGGCTCAGATCTGTCAGGCAAAGTAGCAGCAACACATTTGTTTGCTATTTCTGTCATGAGAGAGAAGGGCAATTTTGGGGCCCAACGCCTGCTGGGGAGCTAGAGACAGGAAGCATGGCACCAGCCTGGGGGAAGGCACCAGGACCCCAACAGTTTGAGCAACGCAAATGGAGAAAAATGCCATGGTGTGCCATGTGACGGCCCAAAACTAACACGGATGTACCTGAGACCTGCTCTGGAGACAGCAAGCACTAGCACACACAACAGGAACAGAGTGTTGCTGTCTCAAATTCTGCATCCCGTTTAGCATGCTTTTAGAGCAAGAGGGTGGTTTGTGCGCACTGATGCAACAGAAGCGACGGCTGACCTGCTCAGGCTCGGTCTGAGCAGAGATTCTGCCGGATCCAACAGAAAGCAGTCGCCGGCTGTAGGCAGCGTTGCGGGCTCCGGCTCAGCGGACCCCTCGTACCCCTCACCTCCCGTGGCCGAACCACCCGAGCTCGACAGCGCCCTGCGGGGAGCGCGGCTCCACCCGCGCCGATGGCAACGGGGGGAAGGGGCTGGAGCGGCGCTGCGGAGCGTCGCGGAGAAGCGGAACGCGCGAGCGAAGCCCTCCGGCGGTACCCACCGTCTTGCAGTCGTCCAGGGCCCGCTGGTTCTGGCAGGCGCCCTCGAAGCCGCTGCCCCGCCGCTCCCCTTCGCGGCCGCGCGGCGAGGTCCCGCTGCCCGGGAAAATGGAGGCGACGGGGCGGGGGCGCTTCCTGCGCCCGCTCAGTGCAGAGCTCATGCACGCGCATCCGCTGCGCGGAATCGCCGCCGCCGAGGGGGCCCCGCGGGCGCGGGCAGCGCCTTCCCCGCCGCCGCTCCGGGGAGGGTGCGCGCCTCGCTCCGCTCACGGCAGTGTGTGGAAAGCTGGCGCCTGCGGGAGAGCCCGGAGAGCGCCCTGCAGCATCGCCCCGGCTACCGCGAGGAGAGGCGGAGGGGCCGGCGCCTTCCCTTCTTCAGCAGCATGTCAGTCCCCGCGGAACCGCCCCGCCGGCGGCATGCCCCGCCGTCCTCCTCCCCGCAGGCGGCGGGGGGGGGG